CGTGAATCAATAGTCCTCTTAGAAGTTTATTCTAACAAAAGTCTTCACCAACTAACTGTTATAGTCAATATTGACCACACATATAAGACAGTAAAAAACCTAAAACATCACATGCAGAGGTAGAATTGACGGGACCAAATAATAAAATGGACAGATAAACGATAGTTTTAAGAAGTATCGAGCCTTTGTTAAATACTGATGTTTGATGACAAGAAGAGGTATCATAGACAAGCTATGTAAATAAAAAAAAGCTCGCGATGTTCTTGACCTGTGACCTGAGGAACCGTGACTCAGACTTACACACGCCATGACAGACGTAACATATTTATACACAGAAGAAAGAAATCTGAACAAAGTAGAAACATTAGGGCGGGTAACTAAATTCTATCTTTTCTCTTTGAAAAAAAGAATGGAATAGAAAGTCAAATGGGATGGTGCAGGAACATCCGGTAAACATATGCTATGTGCAGATTGCCTTCTGTGATGTTATTTCTACAATAATATATTTACATGCATACGTCTTTGCATTCATTTGGGATAAACTTGCAAAAAAGCGGATGCAAGTAGAACAATAATACTAACATCTTAAAAACTCAGTGAAGACAATGAAGACAAAAACAGGGTTTCCTCCATTCAGATAGCAGATCGTATTTTTTATAAAGCAGCTGATTTACATCAATAAACTGTTTGTAAAGAAAGATATATATGAATCTGACGATAGCAAATAGGCTAAAAAGTAGAAGAACGTAAAGGGATGAGAAACGAATGGCCGATGGGTTGAACTTTACCGAACTTAAATAGCTAGAAAATGAAGAAGTAAAAAACCCATCACCAGATCGGATAAAGACACGAATTTAAGGTTGAATGAATTTATGATCGTCACAAGAATGATATTGGACGAGGATGTGATTACCACAAGAATAAGTTAAATGAAACAAATCAGAAAGAAAAAATGGAAGACAATATGATCACCTCCAGGGTAAGAAATGATCGTTACCAGAAAAGGGTATGGAAGACAATATGATCACCACAGAAAAAGAAATGATCATCCCCAGAAAAGGGTATGGAGGACAATTATGATCACCACCAGAATAAGAAATGTTCATCACCAGAAAGGATATGGAAGCGAATATTATGATCACTACTAACATCAGAAATGATAATCACCAGAAAAGGATATGAGAGACAATATGATCACTACCAAGATCAGAAAGGATCGTTATACAAGAAGATACAGAAGAGGCACGTTCATCTCCATAAACTAGATGAAGATCATAATATGATCATCACAGAGATCACAAGAATGATTCTGAGGAGTTAAATATGAAAGTTTCAGTGGACAGACATTGATGTTACCTCATTGGGTGCATATTGCATGAAACACAAATTCAAAACTCCACTCACAATTCAATTATTCATATGTAATTGCCGATTTTAATTTAATGTTTTAGAACTTGTTCAGTTTAGTAACTCTGTAGTTAACAGAATATATTATAAATAGAATAGAATTATAGACTGTCCGCCATATCTGTATTAGTCTGTAATCTATTTCGGCTTCTTTCAGATCTTTCCAAGGTTTTTGTTTTTCTTATCGCTAAGAATTCACTCAGCATGTATAAATAAGTATATAGTCATACCAGGGGGTGAATTGGTCAGATTCATGACTGAGTATTAAGGTGGCTAGTCAGTAGACAGGTCTATAAGTAGGTGTATAGACAATATGATTAAAGGTATAATGCATTGTATTTACATTCCAAAAACCAAACCTCCATATTATGCGTCAAAAAATTCCAGTTAAAGGAACAACAAGGCAAAATGAAAATATACATTAGTACTGCAAAACAATATTTATAAATATAATTGTATCTAAATATGTTCAAATCGGTCCACCCAAACTGACTGAATCAAAACCCCGATGCTCGATAATCGGAAACCGGTTTTTAACTTCCCTATTTTAGCGAACAGCGGCTTTTCAGCCTATTTTTCATCGAATTCCAACAGTTGAGGGCTCTTTTACGTGCACGCCAATGTGTTGGATGGCTGCCTTCGTGTTTTCTCCTCGCCCGAATGACCCCTACTTGCGCCTTACTTAATCCCCTAAACGCGAAAACAAAAATCTCACTGTTCCAACGGTCAAGAATTGTTTGTTAAGGCGGATAAATAAATATTGAAATTGGATAATGCAAGTTTTTACAGAATTACAAATAAATTTATGAGAGCAACATAATTATAATATAGTAAGTGGTAATCCCGAGAGGCGTTCCTATTAAATGAAGTAATAATTATTGTCATTAAAAAAACCGGATGGGTATCCGCCCCTGTCATGTAGGGAAGATTGAGATTGCTATATAAGTACTGGTAAAGAAAGTCAGATCTGGCTTGTAGAATGTCGTGCAATATATGTCGATTAGATCACCCTTCTTCTATTAGCTCGAGCCGAAGACGGTTTCTTTGCTTTAAAAAAGGGTAGAAATTCATAAAGTATTGTTATGATTTTATGTTACCAATCTTGAGATTATATTATACGCAAAGATCAAGTTATAACAGGAATATTGTATCTTTGAGAATTTTGTTGCCATGAATCAAAGCGTAGAGTGATGCCCCTTTGGTGCCATAGCAATACACAAAGGTAGTAGACTAATATGATAAATATTATATAACAATTCATACTATTTGCATAAAGATGTAATAGATTTCCTGTATAATGTAAACCACTGATGTAATGTCAATGACATAATGAAATTGTTTTCTTAACTGTAAGTAAAACGCTTACATAAATATAAAACATAAGTATTATATTAAACAAACTATTTACTGTTACATATCAAAACATGCCGAAATATTGTTCAATGTTTAGATTTGTTGCTGGGGCAAATGTGGCATTCTATCTTATCTGTCAAAGATCAACACTTTTTAAACTTAAAAACCCCGATACTTGTTGTACAACGGTAAAATGTGTTTACTATGTATGTCGAAACCATCTGTTAGCCGTGTCGGTACCGTTTCCAACCGACAATTGCGAATTCTGGTTACGTCAGTTAAATCATTACGTTAATGTGTCGTTGAAATGGACATGCGTTGACAGTCTTAAAAGTTGATTCTAGTAGCTCGTTATCTGTCTATTGTTAGAAAGTAGAAATAGGTGGACCATATCCTTTAAGTTATATTTTTATAAAGGAATATAAATTGGCATGTGTATAATTGAAAGAATTATGCATGTCATTTAACAACAATAACAATTTGATTTCTTTAAACTGTAAGAGTGGCTAAACCGTCAAATATATTCAAAAGCTGCTATTAATGTGACCCTACTATCTAACAAATACATAGGTGGTATAAGGTATCAGAGGAACAACAACGGTAACATCGTATCATGGGGCCAAGTTTTGATGCCCCCTCCTCCACCACCACCAAATTTTTGAGCGTGATTTCCCCACACCACCACCACCACCATCGTTTTAACATTTGATTTTTCTAGAGTTGTCCACTCCTTGAAGAACGATATTGCAAACAGAAATATCATCGTATTTACCTTGCGCCAGTATGTATATAGGTATAAATCAGTAGCACGTGTATAGATATAAGTAAAATATGACACATAAATAATATAATAATAAATACATTTATAGAAAACAACACGACAGATTGATAGTTTTTATATCAATAATATTCTGTTATAGATCTTGAGTCTTGAATGTGAGACTCATAACGAAATGGGAATATTTTACCAAGGTCTGTGTATACTGCTTTAAGTATCCTCTTAAGAATCGGTATAAAAAGTATTTCTTGAGATGGTAACCGAATATCTCTGATAAATAAATATACAGCGGTATGTGTCTGTTACAGACCATAATACACCTTTATTTCCATGGTAGCACCGAGGTATCAATACCAGCCAATTTTTACACCCAACCGATATACTTGTTGCCTTAACCCCAGTTTACCAAGTCTTGACGCACGTATTATGTACTGATTAGAGTTTTGTAAAACAATATATTATTTATATGTAATACAGCATCTAATATAACAACTGGTAAAAATAATAATAAGTACTGTTGGAAAAATAAGGAACAATGGTAAAAATAAGATATTGTATTCATAAAGATACGTGCATTTTATTATTTTAGTTTATGATAGTGAGTGGGTCGAAAGGACTGTTGCAGCAAGCAGGTTATCCTTAGTCAAAGAGAGTAGCACCTGCAGGTCTAGTAAGGGCATGTGTCTAATCTTTGGTCGGTATGATAAACCGAGGTACCGTAGGTGGTAGTGCACATTAAAGATTCTTTCATAGGCACACACAATTTCCTTTCCTACATTCTATCTCTAAATGTAGCTGTAAATAGTGACGGGTGTCGTGCAATCGGCAGAGCAGATCTGCTCTTTGTAGAACTACAGATATTGTACTTTTGTATATCAGTACCGAATAGTAACCACCCATCACAAAAAAACAGTACACGAATATAATACAACAAATTGGGATTGTAAAGCGAGTGGCAAATACCTTTACAACGACATAACCTCGACCCCCACCCCCACCACATGGTGCCAGTATATACCGAATTTAAACTGAAATAACCTATAAAGTATGGACGAGCCCATTGCCTTCAGGTTAGTGATATTTTAGTAATTATGTTTATGATCCAAGTTTCCAGTCTTTCAAAACTGCCATAACCCAGACTGATGTCGACGATGATAAAAAATAGCTGTTCAGATTATGATATTCAATATTACGCTGTTGTTTATGATGATGATGACGATAACGATAAACATGGGTGTGGCATAGTAAATGATGTTGATAGCTGATGAACAAAGATAATAAAGCTAGATAATGACTACGCAGGCATCAACCAATTATAAACATATTTCACAGATGGAAAGAAAACAAAAGAAAGTGCAACAATGCAAACAGAGAAACACACGACTAGTGTCTAAGATTTCACAACTTTTTACACAAAACTGTTCAGTGGGTGGTAAAAGTCTATATCATATTTATCACTTACCTTTTGCCGTCTGCTGTTTTCAAATGTCAGGTTATCCCAAGAGACGCGGAAACATTAGACGTATGTCCGGCACGACCCCTATAGGCAAAAACATATTTTTTACTGAAATATACTCCAGAAAACTCTAGTAAATATCGTCCTAGAACACTCACTGGGACCTAATTTTAACAATAAGTTGCAGACGGTCGTAGTTGTAGAAAAATACAACCCAGAGTACATGGCGATTCAATCAATGTTTAAAAAGAACGCCCTCCATGTTGCAACGATAAAGTCGTTCGTATTTTTGGAATTGAGTACACACAACTTTTGTTGGTTCACGTTTTTACAAATTTTCGAATAAAAAATCAATGTCAAAGGTCAACTGAAGTGATTGAAACGACACACATCTTTATTAGAGGGGCTGACTGGATGTGTACTGGTAAAGCACACTGTGCAAATATTATAACATAACAGACGAATCTAGCGCGTCCACAATAGAAGATCTGGAAGTAAAACAATACGGACAGCCAGAAATTAGACATCACACCCTTTGTTCTTCACTGTTGCCTTTTTAACTCCATGTCAACAAGGCAGTTCTATGTTATTTGAACGGTAAACATTTGCGTCAAGTAAAAGTTGACAGTTTAGGTTTTGAAAGTTGAAGAAGAGACGACATTAAAAAAAAAAGAAAAGAAACAGATGTGGCCGGTGGCCGCCTGTCTGAAATGACAAAATGGCGACAGATTTATTGAAAGAATGAAAAGTACGCGCAATACAAGCATGTTTTATTTCATCAAATATTTCACTACGTCTTTTTCTACGCCCCTGTTGTTCTGAATCCCTGTTGAAAGGGAACAGAACAAACTATTGTCTTGCTTTCCCCACGGACATACGTTTTGATCTAGATATCTTGATACTGTCTGCTTGAAATTTGTCACGGAGAATGAGCTGGTCGATTCAAATTCCATCCCCGTGTCCCGTATCTCCAAGACATGGAAATGGCTCACTTTAGATAATTAAAAATTGTGAAAATTGATGCATGTATTAAATCATTATTATCGGGTTGTTAATCTCAATTTCAGATAAGCATCTTAACGGTATGATTAAATTTCAAACCCGGATGATAATGTTGATAATCTAACTATAGACATGAGTGTAGCCGAATTACATTTGTCTGAGCTATATAAGATTTGGGTTTTTTTAAAAGAAAAATCAATGCAAGAGAAATAAAATATTTATCTCACGAAGGAATCGTGATGGAATGGTTAGATGAACGAGGTAAAGACGAATGATAAATTCTCAGGACACCAAGTGATGGTGAAATTCGGCCTAACACTGTAAAACACATTGTTGTTATGCCAGTGATGGAATTAATCTAGTAGGCCACGAATATAATGTATTATTAGGTTGTACAAATATAAAGCTATAGATATATGTGTTTGTAAATGGAATAACAAACGTTTTCCTATTTTTAAATTTATTTGACGGTTTTTCTTGGATTTAGACTACTCACTACAGTGTTACATGAATGGAAAACCAGACATGTGTAGGTTTTTTATGTTCGAATGTACTTAATTATATAATAAGATTAAAAATGCATAAACATTAAAATATTTCATATTGTTTTACTTTTGGGTTTATGTATGTTAACGATTTGCCTTATTATGGCGTTAAATATATACAGTGCATCACTGGTAATCTATATTTGTACATTAATTTGGATATTTACACACGGAAAAGATCCACAGGAACGACAATCGGAGTATTCCAACATTTATACATGCTTTATTTGGTGCCAGATATTCTAATGAAAACATTGATGGCAATGAGAATTTTGGGCAAATCGTTTATAACTTTATGTACAACTAGCTCAAAAAAGGTGATTAGTAATTGTAGGGAGTTTTATTGTTCTGTGAACGCTACACAAGGTGTTTCAAACAAAACAATTTGAGAAACTCGGGGTCGATTCTTCGGTCTATCTAGAGAACCACCAAATGGATTTTCAAACAATAGCACAAAAAGTAAAGGTAGCCAATGACGAATTGCCTTTAGCTTCCACCATATCAAAGACTAACTCAGAAAACATAAATTGTTAAGAATAAGGTGTAGTAAAATAAACAGTTTTTTTAATATAACCGCTGTCTGGGAACAACCGTCTTGGCCAAGGACAAAAACTCAAAAAGGCAACCCATTCCTGAAGCATTATCACATTGTCAGATCTTTAAGTATTATCTTTAACTATTTATATATAATAGTGTCGTTTTAGTTACCCATGAATTTGACGAGGATCTACGTCGACGTACATTATGTACATATATGTTAAAGGCGGAAGGGGGATTTCTCAGGTAATCTACTCATTTGTAAAGACTCGATATTTCAGGAGTGATATTCTCCGCTCGAAATGAAATGAGCTATAAATTTTCGAAACGCTTAATCGATTCCCATTTTTGTGTTGTGATGCTTAACAGTTTTGGTTAAATAGAAGAGCGGGGTTGTATCGCCGTGGCGGCTCCAATGGGGGTGGGGGGGTAAGGGGGCCAAAAATCTAGTCTGCCCTCGGTTTGCCCCCACCACCCAATAATTTTAAGAAATATAAAAAAATATCTGTGATATATTTTTTGGTAATCAATACCTTCTACGAGACTACGATGATTAATTGCCACATTTCCACTCAAGTCATAGACTTACAAGAGTCCGAGTGAAATTTCTTACCGAACCCATCCTGCCGTAACTATAAACAACAACACGTGAACCACTTGAGAAGTGCTTTTTACGATCCTCACAGTTTTTGGGCATAGATTCGACGCGGCAAGAATATTCATTCAATTTGATTCACACACTCCGTTCGTTTGGGACACCCCTCTCTGTTCGGATAAGCTAATGATTTGACGATAAACGGTATCTGGTCAGCTCTATGTATCTTGACGACAAGTGTCTGAAATACTACCGGGCTGCATTTCCGGCAGTCTATTTCTCAGATTATCGTGGCGAAAATATTCGTTTGACACTTTTCGGCAGTCTATTTTTCAAATTTTTGGGGGCACTAGTGGTCAGGCGACTGGCGGTATCTGGTCAGATCTATTCATCTCGACGATCAGTGCCTGGAATACTGCGAGAATGCATTTCCGGTAGTCTGTTTTTGAAAACATTCTGGGGGAGGTTCCCCTATACACTTCGTAAGGGCTCAATACTTCGGCACCTCTGCCCACTTAAAGGGCCAATCCCGATAATATTTTGGAGAATAAAACTGGTTACTTTTGTGTTAAAATCCCTTAAAATCTTCTACCTTAGGGCCGAGCAACTAACTCAATATATTTGATACGTTTTCAAACAACTTAAACCCGTCAGTTTTAATCTGGAAGTGGGGACCGGTGCCCCAAGCTGTATTATGCGGTGACTGTATAAAACCAGACTTTTATTTTACAAGAATAATGTGTAGGTGAGATTTATCAAGTACAGCACATGGGGCATTCACTATATAAACCTCTAAAGGAACGGGAATCGATTATCAGGTCACCCGACGAAAGAATTGACCCAAAATCTTAAAAGGGTTACGTGTCCGGATAAGCAGTTTTGACGTTCACGTCAAAATGCCTCAATATTTTGAGCTGAAATTTTGAGACAGGGTAAATACACCATTCCTTTATATTTTGGTGCTTAAATTTCATATGTACTCGGACTTTTTTTTTTGGGACGCTGTTCAATTCGGGATAGTCCCTTTAACCTTGAAGCTTGCCCCAGCGTTGCCCTTCCAACCACCGGCGGCTCACGCCGCCACTGTTGTGTTGCCAGCGAACCTACCAACAAAAGTGTAGCAATGGTTAATGAGCTGATACTGCTGGTTATCATTGCTTTGGGAATATAGAATTCATTGGCGGTTTCTGTGTTCGACATAAGATAGCAAATAATTGTATTTTAAGAGTGTAAGAAATAACGGTGAGTCGGTGACCAACGATTTGCTACATGTATATAATCAGGAACTATAGGTACCATCTTACACTACTAGCTGTAATATAATAAACACTGGAGAATTCCTTTTCCTATACTCTCTCTAGATCTTACATATGTTTACCATTCTACTCATCAACACAATAAAACAAAACATGTTCAAGACAAAGGCACCACATTTACACATCTTCTAAGTGGTGCCGAGCTGTTTAGTTAAATCCTGAAAAATGTAAACATCCTTTGTTATCGTTGTTTGATTACTTAATGCACGTGCAAATTAAAATTAGGCAACCTGGGGCCAATAAGTGTACCCGTGTGCGTAAGACAGAAATGTCGGATGTTGAAAGAAAGAAAAAAGGTTGCCAAAAATGCCAACTGTACAAAGTAGAAGAATAATTATTTCTAGACGTGTTAAACTTCGTTCATTCATGGCTGTACTATATGACGTAAACAAATACAGGTAAACCAGAGAAAAAAGAAAATATTAGTTTTGTAATAAAACTGTACTGATAATTTGCGCATTGAACTCACGTTTTACCTATAACTGAATAATGCAACATACGACACTTTTCGCTTATTGATTATTTCAAATTTCCATTTGAGAGACTGCAGTGTAATTAAATTTTACCAACATTTTGTGTCGTTTTATTTTGTGGTTGTTCGCAACTCTTTATTTCTAGAATGGATACGTTCAGTAATACCCAGATTGTGATAGGACGATCTCCGATCAACCTACCAATAAAAACACCTGATACAAAAAAAAAGGTTCAACGGGATTAGTAGGCCTATGCAGTGACCCTTTTCTCATAACATACCCTTAGATGGTTGTTAATAGAGTGACCAACCAAAAAACAGAACGAAAATAAGATCTAGGTTTATTTAGATTGACGAGATATATTACTGTCATTATCCAAGCGGAATGTCGAATTATCAGGTGTTCAAGAATAAATGTACATTTTCACAAATGATATACTTGACACTAAACACTTTATCTTCTCATAGTAAAAAAACATCCTATTAGCTATACATTCTAAGAGGAAAAGGATGGCGTGATACGGTAATAGACCATTTTTTATAGTAAGATTTAAATATTAAGGCCACCTGCAGATTTCGTCAAAGTCACGAGATGTAAACAGGGTTTGGGTACAAGATTGATGCCGGGAATTGTGGGTTAGGATTAGGGTACGGGTTAGGTCTTGGGTTAGGGTTAGTGTTAGCAGTAGTCCTGCATATATATCTCGCGACAGTGCAATTAAAATACATGTAGCAAATTAATTGGTGTAAACTTGGTGTAAATTCCACCTACCGAGTTTAAATATAAATATTTACTGATTAATCCAG